GAGAGAGAGAGAGAGAGAGAGAGAGAGAGAGAGAGAAACCTGGAAGTAAAAAAACTGAATATCCAGATGTAATTGTAGCAGACTCGTTTAATTTTTAGTTGTAGTGTGTTAGTAAGTGCTGACACGTAAAAATGCTGTATGGTGCTCCAAATCTCTTGCTTATAGTTTATAGTGAGCGGTTGCTTCCCTTGACAAAGCCCATGAGCAATTATATTAAGGCTCTTCCAAGATTCATATTATTTTTTTTTCGTGTGAAGGACAGTATAACTTAGAAGTGTTTTCTCAACATAATTCAAGTACAGGTGTTCATTTTCTTTTCAGTTCACAGGTTTCTTTGTCCATGGCTGCTTAAGTCTTATCATCGTCTCTGTAGCTTGTCTTAAAAAAAGGAAAACTATAGTCAAAGCTCGGTGCACTGCCATAGTCACAACATAATCTGTTTCTCCTCCCAGCCAGGCCCACATTTTCGACTTCAGAAATTATGGAAAGTTGGTTCTAAACAAGAGCCATTTTTTTCTTTTTGCTGCTAAACCGACTTTATCCTCGACTAACGTTGAAAACTAAACTGCCGTAGAGCGATAGAAAATTGAAGTGGTGTTACAAAATGCACTGGACTTTGTCCAAGGTCGATTTGTTCTAATTGAAAGGTATCATTATTAAAATATTGATTATATTTTTGGGGGCTCTCGTTGCCTAGAGGTTACGGTGTTCACCTCTCACTTAATAGGTCCCGGGTTCGAAACGTGACACCTCCTTTCCTGCTCTCTAACCATGTTCTGTCTGTTGCTTTCCTCTCCACTTTCCACCCCCACCGCCCCTCCCCACTTTTTTGCCTACTCCTCTGAGCACCTGGCTTTTTCTGCAGCCTTTCTACTGCTACTCCTTGACTCCTTCTGACTTCTTTCTTTCAGCCACACCCTGATCTTATGGTAGGTAAGATCTATATATATAGCCGTCTCGGATAAGGGCGAAAAATCTCGGAGGTCCCAGGTGCAAGTTGCGCACGTAAAAGATCCCCTGGTGGTCCAAAATCGATAAGAGTAGATTTCGGCCGCCACCCGGGTAAAATTCAAAATTAATTCTCACCAAACTAAAAAAAATACACGCTTAATGTGTCCCACACGCTCATATGGCCGTATGCAGTTGCAAGCGCCGTAAAACAATTACCAAAACAAAATTAGTCTATTTTAATCTGTAATCTGCAAAACTACACAAAAAATATCGAGTATCGATACCATGGTCATTATAAACAAGTCAAGGTATTCGTTCAGTACAGTCGCTATTCCCGTGGACAGAGTTTTCTTTTTGTTTTATTGTTTCCATTATTTATCCATTTCTTTAAAATACTGTAATTCTTCCCTGTTCTAACAAAGGATGTTGCTGTTGTTTATTTGTTGATTTTTGTCGTTGTCGTTTATTTGTTGATTTTTGTCGTTGTCGTTTATTTTCCAATTAAGCATTTCCGTCTGTCTGCTGGGATGCTGTACCCCTCTCAGGCAGAGTTGGCACGGACTGGCGGGGTCGAATCGGCCCGAATCCTAAATGATCTAAACTGTGCCTAGATTTTGTCCTTCAAAGGAAATTGTTAATTCCTCCCAGCCTGATTCAGCCCAGTGACAGAAATATAATGCAATGGTTGACCCATGATAAGAGATATGTGCACAACCTGTATCTTTTCACTATGGAAACTTTATTTAACAAATGGGTGTTTTATATGATGTGATGTGGGCTTATAACCTTAAACACTGAATAAAGTTACTTACGTACTAACTAATCAGTGTCGATCGATAAAAGTAGGCTTCAGCTGCCGCTCGGGAAAAATTGAAAATATCCTACTTACTACTTTTACTTATTCATCCTCTGTTGTCGTTAAGCGTCGATGGGAGATGCAGTTTTCTATGGTAGGCCAGTTCGCAACGTAAGGTCGTGGGTTCGAATCCTGTCAGGGGCCTGACGTTGTGTCTTTGGGAAAGGCACTTTGCACGAAAATATCCTACCAACTGAAAATGTTTAATGTGTCCCGCGCGCTCAAATGACCCTTTGCAGTTGCGAGCGCTGTAAAACACCTACCAAAAAAAAAAAACAAAAAAAAAAAAAAGAAAGAAAGAAAACTGCCAAAAAGGACGTAAAACATCGACAAGAGTAATTTCATTTTTTTCTTCTCATTTTGTCAATCCAGGGAAAACAGAAGAACGCTATGAAAAAATGGTCAACTTTCCCCTACGCGCGGGTACTCCACTTCGCCATGATCAAGACGTATAACGTTCTGAAGAAGGCAAAAGTAGGAGTCGAGCTGTTGGATATCCCGCTATTCACGCTAGAGGGGGACAGCTGTCGCCTGTCACACCTGGTGAAAGAACAACGCCCCCTGGTGCTCAACTTTGGCAGTCTCACCTGAGGCCCATTCATGAACGTGGTAGGAACACAATTGTGTGTCTGTGTGTCTGCCTGTCTGTCTGTCTGTCTGATGTGTGTCTGTCTGATGTGTGTCTGTCTCTCTGTGTGTGTGTGTGTGTGTGTGTGTGTGTGTGTCTGTCTGTCTGTCTGTCTGTCTGTCTGTCTCTCTCTCTCTCACTCTCTCTCTCCCTCTTTCATGTCTCAAGTAGGGATAAATAAATTATTGTCCCCCTCCCCCCTCTCTCTCTGTGTCTTTCTCGCTCTCTCTAGCACTCACATTCATGTCTAAGGAAAGGACCATCTCATTCTCTCTCTCT